ACTTTTGTATATAACCGACTTCCATAGAAATCTACATGATTGTATGAAATATTAATGAACTTTCACTACTTAAAAAGAACACAATATATACAAGTTTACATTATGATTGCTATACAGCCCAACAAATTTCTTCTTTTATTGGCATACAAACTGTAAGCAAACTAAAAAGACTAAATTTTGGACAATCAGAACTACAAATTCAGCTTCATACAAAAATGCTACAGTGTACACTATTCAAGAAAGGCACAATTATCAAAATAATAATTAACATTCATCACCCGAATGCTGCCTTATACCTACTACCACAGCAAGTTTGAATCCTACTGAAGGATGTTAATACAAGACACCACAGGAAGTCAGATGTCATAAGTATAACTTTTGTCTAAATACTAGCCCAGAACTAAACATAATTAAAAAACTCTCATCAATTACTAAGTCAGGAAACACAACCTGCCCTACATGAATAGATTAATCATCAGATAGAGCCAACATTTGCATAGTTGTTAACTTATATTACATGTACATTTCAATTAAACTGATGGAATATAATAACAATTACATAAACTTTCTAAATGACACCAGTTCTACAGCCTGCGTGACTTTGTTTTTCAAATGTCTGTTTTCCAGATAATACATACATATGTCATTCAACAGACTGATCAACTTTTCCTTAAATTAACAGATATTCTCCCCTAATCAAAAATTTGCTATAAACAAGTTTGTAAGTTTATAACACAACAATTTTGAATATACGTCATTAAAGCTACATTTATTTATTCTGGATCAGCTATTCCTAAAACTAACAGATATTCTCCCCTAATTAAAAAATTGCTATTAACAAATTTGAAAGTTTATAACACAAAAATTTCTGATCTACATCATAAAAAGTACTTATGTATTTACTAACATCTATATCAATATAATACTTTCATAAGATGGAACTTCAGAATTATTTCATATCACGTTTTTTCATGTTCTCAATGTTTTAAACAATACTGACATCGTCTTGTCTCCGATTTAAATCCAGTTTTCACTTGTATAAACACATCTTTTATAGATTTTACAATAGTCGGACCTCCACTAATTAACTATCCCAGCAATTCTTGTCATTAAAGTCAATCCCGCACACAGTAACTTTAATTGATATAAAATACTCCTGTATTTGAACTCCTGTATTTACAAATTGACAAAGGATCACCTCTGCTGTTTACAGTTTTTTTAGCGTAGTGTATCGTAATACTGTAAACGATTTGTAGACTAAAATCGCTCCGTCACTCACGATAAAATCTTTCGGGTTAAACTTGCAAACAAAAGCAGCTGTCAAATTTTCCTTTAAATTATCTATGTAAATTTGCAAAATGAGGCATTCAAATGGAAGAAAAAGTTAACCCTTGCCAAAAAATTGACCGATACTAAAATTGACTGGGCGCAACTAGATTTAAAGTGTTCAAATTTTGTACATAGTACTTTTTCACTGAAGCAATTAGAAAGTATGAACGTAAGTTAGAAAAATTAGCATTTTCATGAGCTATAAAGAATAATATATTACTTGGGGCTTAAATCTTCAACAAGTTAAATAATTAAATGGATCAAACAGAGTTTTCATATCATAATTCATCATATGACAGTGTTCATTACAATTAACTAGAGGCAAAACTTTGTACTTTGGAAACAAAATTTAATTACAATATCTATGGTTTTTTTATCTTGTTTTAGACAGTATTTCAGATACGAAACATTATTTTAGGTGACATAATTATGACCATGGTGCTTAACCATAACCCTTAATATCTCAAATAGACTTGTCCATCTCTCATTGTGGACAAAACCATTCATAACTTTAAGGGAACATTTCTGACTAAATAGCGCAAAGTGCAGATCACATTATATGTGTCGTCTGATCCACGTCTGCAATGGCTGCAGTCGGTAGAATCTAAACAATCAGCAGTGTAATTGTTAATATTAAAATTACAAAAAAAAGCCATTTGTTTCAATGAGCATTCTAAAATCTCTATTCTTTTTTTCACTAAAAAGATGCTTTAAAGGGTATAAATCTATATCCTATAAAATATTTCAACAAAATTTATCAATAGTAAAAGTATATTGATTCCATTATTATATGGTTGATTTACCGAAAAAGTTGTAACAAAGAATGTCTCTGTTATTTTATACACATGAATAATGTGCTTAAACAGAATAAAATGTTCTGAAACAAAATATTATATTGCTATTTTGCTATCCAGTCCTTCAAATTATTTGGCCGAAATTGTACATGAAATTTTACATGTTTGCCAAGGTGAGAAAAATTTTAAGCCATTAGTTATCATTATACATACACATTCATTTTATTTTTCAAGTTATTTTATACATCATACATAACCATTTATGATCACTATTCAATTTGTTTTTTAAACCAATGGTTTTAAATTAATACTAGACCCAGTACCTTATTATACGCCTCATAAACATTGACTAATTCTTACTGAGTGTCTTTACATCGGACAATATTTTGTAAGTTTGATGACCTTAGTTTTAAGGTCAAAGAAAATCCATGTGAATTAAAAGATTCACCTCCTTCTGATAAACCATACCACAAAGGATTAACCTTATTTCTATACTCTATTTTCCCTGTTCATTTTCCATTTCAACCTAAATACTTAAACTAAAAAAAACTTCGGCCTCATTCTAAAATTTCTATGCTAATACAAACTAGATATATCTGATCATTTGTTGTGTTTACTTCTCAATTCCAGTCTCCTTTCATAAGACCATGTAAATATTTGCATTTTTTATATGTTGATGGATTTATCAATGTCATGCTTCGAGCACTCTAAATTCTATTATTTTATATCCTTGTTTTTAATTGTTATCAGATCTGTTTTAATAGCTAAAAGAATTCCTTAATTTATTTTTTTCTGAAGCAAATGGTCATGTTTGCAAATGATAATATTCTAGTAAAATTATGTTAAGAAACACAGATTTTCTCTGATAATACTCATAACTTAAAGCTGCCTAGGTTAAATATGTTAATTTTAGAAAAATCATTTTGATATAGTCAAATCAAAAGAATTAAGGTGGAAAAATGAAATTTGTCAACCATAAAATACATAAACAATAGATTTACTGGTCCGCTCTCTATATTTAGATGAGTTAAGTCGTTTCCCTATCTTCTATTTTTACAAACAAACATCACTGATGTGTTAAATAGTGCTTAACAGTGATATGATGCACTTTTTCAAAGAAAAAGTTACTAAAATACTCAGTTTGAAAAAACACAGAATTGTTTTTCTAACAGAACTGACACCTCCCTGTCAAAATTCAATGACAAAATACTTTAAAGTGTTGACAAAGTCAGGTGATGATTATTTTGCTAATGGCACCATCCTGTTGATTTTCCCTGACAAAGCACATCTAAAATGTTTACAAACTTTGGTGTTAATTTAATAATGCTGCTAATGAAAGCCTTCCAAGGAACATCCAAGTTGTTGACAACTTTTTCCATTTACATATTAGAAAGAACCCCCACTCTTCATTAAGCCACCAAGCCTCTCTTCATGTAAAGCCTGTCTTTTGAATGCATAATCCCACTATTGTTATGCCAATTTCATAAAGTTTAATTCATATCCTGGTATAATCATGAGTTATTAACCATTCCAATGTGGGAATTCTCCATACATGTGCATAGTCCTGAAATGTCTGGGACCTTCCTGAAATAGTCCAAAATGTCTGGGATTGTCCCGGATATGGGGCCACTGTCCTGCATGATTCTAAATGGCCAACTTTCACCAGAAAAAAAGATAAGAACTCTTTAACAAATCTAATATTCTGTGAAGATCAAACTATTCCATGTAGGATGATAGTTATACACAGGAAAATTTGACACTAATCTATTACTTGGTATACGGTCCTTTATATGTTTTTAACAATTCCAGACAATCAGTAGAACATTTTCAAGGTGATGCAGAAATAGGCAAGATTTTCTAGTTTTGAGTAATTTTGGCTTGAACTTCTTGTAGGAGTAATCACTGATATTATGTCCCTTCAAATTGTCAATAAAAATCCTATAGTGACAATCAATATTGATGATTATCTACCAAGTAAATAGCCACTACATGTACAACTGTAATCATTATAATACATTGTGTAGGCTTTTACTTCCCTTTTTGTTTTCGATCAGACTCACTGAGATGCATGCAAATGACACAGTGCCTTGAAAACAAGCCTCTTGATAACACAAACTGCATATACCTCTCAATTTTATTATCAGAATGAGAAGGAAAAAAACACCAGACACAATAAAACCTTCTCTTAATTTGGAACATTTTATTGCTTCTGTTTGGTAACAGCAACTAGTCAGTGACTTAAATTTCTGCTACGATTTGGTTAAAGATTTATACAGACTGACCAATTTTACTAAATTTTCTGGTGCAATGTCACATGATTAAATGTTATATTATTTTTTTCTTTGTTTTATTTTATATCTTCCTTCCCTATCTGTATAAACAATCATACACTGAACCTACCTTAAAACTAACATCTTTTAAGATGAAATTTTGATCTGTTAATTTTTCATGCTTATTTTGAGACTGTTCTTTTGATTTTTTTATTTTGAACACAAAAGATTTAGCTAAATCACTAATTTTTGGTCTGGAAAAAAAAATGGAAAAAAGGCTAATTTTATCAGGTGTATATAATGTTACTATACTACAAAGAAAATCAAATCCCTTCACCAGATTTCATGATACCATGACTAAAATGGTATATGTTTATTATTGTGTGTTTAAATGTAAATAAAGAAATTGAAAATGCATCTTATATTCATTCTTAATTATGCCAAAACATAATGAAAAATTGAAAATTTGAGAAAATTTGATATATAATTCTTAATCTTCATCACCAAACATAACAGACCAGCAGAAAGAGGTTTAAAAAAAAAAAAAAATTAAAAAAAAAAGGTTTTCAGGACCAGGGGTATCCAAATTATACTTAACGCAGCTTACGTAACGATTGTGTAGATCCGTTGGACAATTTTGCTGCTAACATCGTCGAAGACGATCGTCTCCGAGGCAGTGTTGAAGTAGATATCGTACCACCGGGACGGTTAGCGATATCTACCGCACTGCTTGAACGCATCATTCCATTTTGTCTGTGACTCGACGGTGGTTCGTTAAATGTTTCTAAATCTGTAATAATTTAATTTCGGAATATAAAAATAACCTTTTCTAGTTTCGGAAGTGTCAGTAAGTAGGATTAGCAATCTACAATGTTCTAGTGGGTTTTATAACAAAACTAACTAGTGCTAGTAACTGCAAACTAAACCGGGTGCATACGTCTGGGTACTGCTAGTACATTGTTAGATATACGAGCACAGTGTTATATTTTTGTGTGTAAATTACATCATGTAATAATGATGGATATTTGATAAATGAATGATAAATAAATGATATTGATGAATACAAGCAAAGGTTTTACAGACAGTTTTACATACCAAAAAAGTAATGTTGTTTTTTTTTGTAAAACTATCTGCAAGCAATTTAGTATGCCCATGATAGCAGAAATCGTTCCTATAGTTTACCTTTTCCATTTTGTTTAGTCAAAGAGGATTGACATATTTAAGCCAAATAAATATATTTCCCCACATATATATAAATATATAAGAATGTAGGTACTGACAATTTCTGCTAACAAGTGGCTTATAAAAAATGAGCTGTCAATCAAAAAAGAAAAATAACAACAACACTGCAACAGAACAGCACTGCAGTACAAGAATGATGAGCCAATGGGAGGAGATCACATGACTATGTACATGGTCACATGACATGATGACATGTTCTTACCTTCCTGATGGCCATCTAAGTCATCATTGTCGAGGTCTAAAAAGTAGCGCAGGCAAAAAAGAAACAAACAAATGTTAAAACTCACTCTTCAAAATGCTCAAAATTTCAATTATTCATATACTGAACAGTTATTTGGAAAACAATAAGGTACTAAATATAACTATACTAACAGAGTAACCTTAATTTATGTATCATTTCACTGCAATCTTACAAAAGCAGGTGGTAGCATTCATTTAGGACTATATTCACACAGGATAATGATTATCACAGGGACATCAAAGCAATCAGCAGGAAAAATTTGTTTATTGCTTAACCCATCACCTGTACGATCTGAACCTGGCCAGCCTTTGCCAGCCCAAACAACCCTGCAGTCTCACAAGGCTCTGTATTATTGGTTACTTTTGTATTTTTATATCGAAATCTGTTGACCATTGATTTGACTGTTCTCAATTCAATGCTGGGCAAATCAAGTATATGAATTCATCAGGATGATGGTTAAAGTCTTGCCCAACTGAATTTGATGAATTTGTATCACAATATCCTCTGCAACTGTTCATTGTTAACACAATCAAAATGCTAAAATTCACAGTAGTCACAAGAATATTCGTATTAGGAACATTTAAGAGTATATAGATATCTAAATAAAATATGTTCAAGTTTATCAATTAGTAAGATCATTTAATGACAGCTTGCACTCTTCATGCATCCTAATGGATGATTTTAGACAACCAGTCCCAAACATAACTGTTAACCAACTCAAAATATATATAATGCTTCTTTCTATCAATTTTCTTTAATATTTTTTTACAGAAATTGAATATAGCAAACATACCTAGAGTATTTCATGTAAAAAGTAATGCTACTCATGTAAAAAAAAAGTGTTATTCATGTAAAAAAAAACCTTCTTAAATAATGCATTATGACAACAACAGGTTTTTTTTGTTGGTTTTTTTTTTTGCCACTGTTGTTTAATATATTTTGAGGTGGTCAACGAAACATGTTTGAGTGTCTCCCCTGTTCTAGTAATGCATGTGTAGTATGCATGCTGATCTAAGTAATATCAAACATTTATCACATATTTGGAAAATTCAACCATTTTTATCATCTTCTGTATCTTCTATAGCCTACATTGTAATAAAACAGAATCTATTAACCTTGATGCTCTTTGGAAAATTATTTGATTCCTGTGATTTTCGCAACTGACAGGGTTTCTGCCAGCTATGGCTAGAAAAGTCACATAGTAAGAGATTATTTCTTCAAAAACATGCAGCATTCATAAAACCAACTAGAAACAGATGCCCCAACATTCCACTCTTTTGTCAGTCTATGGATGAACACCGTGACAGCTGGACAGTGGAACATCGTGACAAATGGACACGTGTATATCTCTTTATACTTGACCACAATTATAACCGATCAACAATCTTTATAACATATCATAGTCATTTTAAGTAAAAAGTTTCAATTAATAGTATTTTCCTAAATATCTTTATTGCAAAGCCAAGTGGTGGTCTCTGGAGAATAGTTTAACATAGGATGGTTTTATTAGTAACCAATTTCTTCAGTTTTTCCAAAAGTTTATCACATCAAAGTGGGTACAAGGGAAATATTCAAGGATGAACATTAATCAATAGAATGATTATCTGATAGGTTGGTTGGTGGATTGTTTGTGTCACATATTGTATACAGATTATTACATCATTAATATCAATCAATGTTTCCCAATCTGACTTAAAGTTCAGATCTTATTATGATGAAATGTAGATCTGATCTAAACTTGACATACAGTTTTATTTTTGATAAACAGGGAACATGATTTTAGAATATTCAAGCATAAATATATCCAATATTAAAAACTTAATCTAACCTTAAAAACTTACCAAACGCTGAATGATGCACTGACAATAAATTTACTATTCATTTATATTAAAAACCTATTCTCTTAGAAAGTGAAATATTCACAAAGGAAGGTATGAAGTATATATACTACAGAATAAATCTAAAGTTCAGTTGAAAGTAATCTGTTAAGATTGCAGAAAATGATAAAACTTTCATTGGGGAAAAAAATACCAAAAAATAATTGAACTTGTCAAACACACGTATGTACCAAAAACTTTATGAACAATTATTATCATGCATGGGCATTCCACATGCCAGCATTCAATCTCAAAAAAATATATATCTAATATCAATATTATAACAAGACCCTGCAAAATAAAACTGATTATTAGAATTATCAGACAACCAATGGTCAAAACAACAATTCTGAGCTGATCAGGGCAACATTCAACTGAAATCCATTTCTTCAATCAATATCTATTATAGTTATCTGCTTATTCTAGCCTGATGGGACAAAAGTCATTACATTTCTGTATAAATCATATATAAACAAGCTGTAACTTTTGGACTTTAAACTTTAACTTGCCCATGAGAAGGTACATTAATGTTATCCTAAAGTGATTAGCTTTTGCCACCAGTAAATGAGACATTTCACAATGTACATAATTATGTGAGGACTGACTATGCTTTATACTGTTCCAAGCTCATTTTTTGTACTTTGATAAATTATTGAAATACCTTAAAACTTTGAACGGACTGCTCCATATTCTAGCAGAGGGAATTTATTGCAGAGATTATTCAGGTTAAGGGTTATGTGTGCCAGCAAAGTACAGCTGTCATAATATTGAATTAAAACTAATGAGGGAAGAAAATCTGATATTAAAATGTTTAAATCAAGCACCACACAGTAGCAAGTCTGGTCAAATCATATTACTAAACATGTTGACCATACTCTATGCTGGGTAATAAAGGCAAATCAATTATTTTGCCTGTGTGTTCAATGGACTGCAATTAAAAAATGCAGTTCTTAACAGACATTGTAGCACCTTAACATGGTGTAATAAAAAGTGCTTTAATGTAAAAACTGTGGCTATAATATTTTAACTAATTTCAAAGGGTGCTATATTCAAATTGCAGCTATGGTATTTTTATAAACATTGAAAAAAGGTGCTTTTATATTAAAAAGTTGCTATTATAATATTTCAATGAAATGTGCCTAAATTCTTGTATAAGATATCATAAAATTACACCTTTTGACCAACTTTTAGACATCAAAGAATTCTTTCCTGCATAGTAATAATAGATAGGTTAGAAAATAAATACTCCTACAATGAAACATTTCACAAAATGAAATCTCAAAAAATATGATAAGAATCAAAATTCCACATATGTTATACTATCATAGCTACTATTATGAAAAGTATATAGATCATTTTTGTTCTTATCTTTTTTTCTTTTTTAAGCTGAAGTTACAAAAAATACATTCTTAGCAGAATGCTACTTTCTAATTAGTTATGACATAAATGTTCTGAAAATGTTTACTACATTATAGTAATATAAAAACAGTAGAAAATTTCAGTGTATGTTAACGTTCAGCTACTGGTGATGACTGAAGTCAACCTTTGTTATTAATCATTACAAAACAAAGAAATCACAATTACCTCCCCCTGTATCGCTTCGAGCTGAACGGAACCTTTGATGACTTTTCTTATTTACACGCCTGAAAAAGGAAGAAATAAAATAAAATTAAGAAAACATTGAAATTCAAGAGTGCAAACTTTGTTTTTAATATTATTATACTTAGATAAGATGGGTATTAAATCACAATATTTGCACAATGACAAGGCCTAAAATAAAATTTAATTTGTTTCCCCTTCCCTACCTACCCAACAAATGTTACTAAATATACCCTACATAAAAGATTTTTTCAGGTTCTTAGGGGATGAAAGTATTTTTTTTCTTTCAGAGTACAATAGGTACAATCTAATCTGATATTTTAGACAGCTAGCATAGTTAATAAATTGTTGCATATGTCAGATGTGAATATGGTAATGCATGTACATATACTATTGCACTTAATAAATTAATTTTAATAGTTCATTATACATATATGCAGATTATTATTATGCACATATAAAAAAAATAATTTTCCTACCTACCTTCCCAACCCTAATTTTAATGGGTCGGGAAGGGGAAACAAACATAATTTATTTTTGGCCCAACCATTTTACTATGGGAATTGTTTGTACATTTTCATAGAAATTCACACATATCTGGAAGCTTTGATGAAAGTAAATGTACAGTTACATAAATCACGATCCCAAAATAAATTACTACATGTTCAATTTATAATAATGGTGTTGCCATAGAAACTAAGACAAAAATCATACAAATATTATGATAAAAATGTTTTTCCAAAAGTTAATATAATGTTATTCTAAAACTTTTCAATTAAAATTTGTGACTCAGGTAGTACTTTAAAGTGCTTATGTTTTTCTTACTTTGAACAAGAGAGAATGTGAATCATTAAATGAGCCGCGTCACGACAAAACCAACATAGTGGGTTTGCGACCAGCATGGATCCAGACCAGCCTGCGCATCCGCGCAGTCTGATCAGGATCCATGCTGTTCGCTATCAGTTTCTCTACTTGTAATAGAGGATGCGCAGGCTGGTCTGGATCCATGCTGGTCGCAAATCCACTATGTTGGTTTTGTCGTGATGCGGCTCAAATAGTAAATAAACAATTGTTAGCTTGATGCTAAACGCCAATTTAAACATATTGTTCGTCATATCTCCACAGGTGTTCCAGTCTATCTTCCCGGCTCTCCTTGATAACTTTAACCAGTAATACAAATTTCTCAGCAAGTGACTGACTACTAACCCCACGAGAGATAAATGACCATTAGGCTTAAATGTTGGTGATCAATTGTCGCTCATCTGGTATCAATTGACGTGGATTAATTTCCCAACACCTGAGGATTTTAACCAGAACCCCTGGATTATAATTCCCATGCTCTTTCTTTTGAGCTAAGCAAACGGACAAATAAGTATGTAAGAAAAAATATGAGTAAAAAAATTATATTACCCTAAAGTACTGGTCTCGTATCCCCTGTCCTGACTAGCTGAGCGTGCCCGCACCCTCCCTGCAGTTAGGCGTTCACCACTGTTGAGAGAGTTACTACTGGAGGAATTACTAAGTTCACCTTGTAAAGCCTTCTGTTTAGCTGGATCTAGATGATTTAACAATGCATCGGCTTGATCTTTGAAATGTTCAGCAAACCCCCAGAAAGACCTGTGAAAAAAGGAAAGAATGGTTACTCTTAACATGAATTATATAAAATGTTCTAACCAAATTACCAATAGAAAGGGGAGGTTACTTTAAACATGAAGGATATTGAAACATTATTCATTTATTTTATATTTATAAAAATCTCTTACATTGACAAGTAAAGAAAACAAAGGGAAGTAACTTTTGAAGGGTTACTTTACAATCGCAACTACTCGGCCCTTTCCGTCACTCTTCGGATAAGGACCTCGAACACAATAGTATGAATACACAGAACGGATGCGATATTTTGGTCTAACCTACGCTAAGAAACTAAACATGTAAACAAATAGTAATTTAATGCTGGGAGTTGTTGACAAGTTTATTTCCAATATATGTTGTAAAGGTCCACCTAAAATAAATGAATTCATAGGTACAAAAGCAAACAATACATTATTTATATATTTATTATTATGGTTGTAGAAACCGAAAGTACAAAAAACCAACCTGTTGACATTTAGTCGGACTTGTTTAAAATTGAACATCAGTGGGCATATTTGAATTACAAATTGTTGTCAGACATATTTTCAAGCAAAAGAGTACCGGAACAGACATAAGATGTCAAATATATGTACATTCGTTTTACATCTCTCTGTTTATGTTTACATCTGAGACCACGTGGTAGAACTACTTTCAATCCGTATTGTTTCCGAGGTTATTATAGATAATAGCCGAGGAAGTTCCGAATGGGTTACTTTAATGAGGACATCTTTGTTCACCTTATGTAATGATGGGATTTTTGTTCATCTTGTAAAAAACAGATTGTCTAACAGTACATAATGTAAAACATTGTCATGCTGAATAGAACTGTCCAACAGTATAGAGACTAAAAGACTAGTCAAAACTATCACCGTTGGTAGCTGACCTTATACTGGTTGTTCAAGCTTGCGATAAATCACCATGGACATATAAATTCAGAAGAGGGAGTAGACTTACTTTCTGGCAAATGATCGAGCATCAGAATCTGCATCACTTATACCCTTTTTAATGGATTCTTGTAATATGGCAATATGTTTTTCTAGTATATGTGTTGGCCAGGTGTGTAAAATCTGGTTCAGGAACTCACAACTCATTCTGCAATAGAAATACATACACATATTATATTTTATAAAACAGTGTATCTCGTGTAAACTTTGTTCATATTCTGAAAAGGGTAAACTGTGTACGACAAAAACACTTTTGCTTGTTTGTTTTTATAATGTGTATTTTATTATTAATAATAAAGGATAAGTAGTCAGTAATGGGTTACAAATAGCTCTCTGGACGCTGTTCTGAAGAATGCTTAAAAGTAATATGATGCATTTTCCCAAAATAAATTACAGAATACTTAGTTTGAAACAACACAGAATTGTTTGACAAACAGACAATAAAAGCTGAAGGTAGCTTAAAAATGGTTACGAAACTCTCCATTAAACAAAACTCAACAGAAAAGTCATGGCTTAATGGTGACAGTGACACTCTCAAAGAAGAAATGGAAGGTTTCAGCTTCTCCATTTCCTCACATGCATAAAACGTAGTCTCAGAAACAAGCTTGAAAATGTCTTATACAAATTTAAAGAACATATTTCACATTCAAGTGTCTTGAATTGTTTGTTTTTCTGTTTTTTTCACTGATTATCAACATTTTTGGTCACATCTCGGTCATGAATCCACTTAAAAGGCTTTCCTGGTTACTGTATGTATAGAAAATTATTTCGCACATTTTTTAAGTTAGTGCTTTTCGCGATAGGTATATTCCTGCAAATATTTTTAGCCAAGAAGGAGTCACATGAACATTTGTAGCTTTAACAAACTAAAGTATCATTATGATGTACTAGTGTTACAAATAAATTTTACGAACCATGGCAATTGTGTAGTCACAAAAAAAATATCTTAGTGGGTTCTTGAATTCGTTGACAGTTTACTTTTACAAAAGGTAAAATGTACATAATGTGATGCAAAATCATCTTAAAGTAGACAAAATGAAATTTCATTGGATCTTAAAATAATGGATGGACCTATCCATGAAAATTAGTACCCCACGAATAATAATGATTTTGCAGGACAGATTGTAATGAGCAGTTTACTATTTGTTTAATTAACCTATAAATAAATAAATATTGTTACCTACCTTCTTATGATACTGGCCTTGGATGACATATTATTAGTAATGACTGGAATGAGTCGTGATGCAAATGTATACTGAAATATAAGACACACATCATTTTCAATCAATATTCTTGAAGGTCTGAAATATTTACCAAACTTAGTGGCATTGTTACAAGGCCTGAGACCTTTTTATGAAAGGTCAATTCATATATAGAATATAACATAGGGTTTCCATTTATCATTTAGCAATGTCTTTAAATTTAGAAAAAGAAATGCTATGTTTGACTTTTTTTAAAGTTATTACATTGGCATTTATATTTAGACTGAAAGACGACTATTGTAATTTCTCTGATATCGAGAATCGGGATAAGAGTCAAAGGAATTACAGATTAAGACAAATACTTTTATGCAAAACTAGAACTCCGCGAGTCGGATGTGTCGCCTTGTGAAGAATGTAGTTTAGGGGAAATGGCCAGGACAAAAATGAAATATGAAAAATAACAAAGGGCAATAACTAAAAAAATAATAAGTGCAGAGCAGCAGTTTCTGTACACTGCACTTCTTATCAATAAGATCTATCATTCTATGATGTTTCAAGTCCATAGCTTTCATACTTGAGGAGAAATGACCAGGACAAAAATAAAGTAAGAAAATCAACAAAGGGCATTAACTCAAAAATAAGAAATGCAGGGTATCAGTTCTTATGCACTGCACTTCTTTTTAATGAGATCTATCATCCTATGAAGTTTCAAGTCCATAACTTTTATACTTTCAGAGAAATGGCCTGGACAAAAATCAAGTATGAAAATTAACAAAGGGCCATAACTCAAAAAATAAAAAATGCAGAGTACCAGTTCTTGTGCACTGCACTTCTTCTTAATGAGACCTATCATCCTATGAAGTTTCAAGTCCATGGCTTTTATACATTAGGAGAAATGGCCCGGACAAAAATAAAGTATGAAAATTAACAAAGGGCAATAACTCAAAAATTAGGAAGTGCAGAGTACTGGTTCTTGTGCACTGCACTTCTTCTTAATGAGATCTATCATCCTATGAAGTTTCAAGTCCATAGCTTTTTTAGTTGAAGAGAAATGGCCTGGACAAAATTAAAGTATGAAAATTAACAAAAAGTGCAATAACTTAAAAATTAAGAACTGCATAGTACCGGTCCTTATGCACTGCACTTCAGGTTATTGAAAGAAGCATGCATACCAAGTTTGAAGTCAATCAGACTTATAGTGACTGAGTAATGCTCTGGACAAGCTTTAGGGAACGCCGACACCGACGTCGACAACCACACCGACAATGACGACGCCGCCGACAAAAGTAACCCCTATATGTCGCCTTTTCAAGGCGACACAAAAAGTGCTAATGCACATTTTTTCATGCAATCACATTTGCATATTAGAAGAGCATGTACATTAAATCGCTGTTAAAATGTGAAAGTTAGCACACTTGCTACAGATATTGATAATGGCACACAGATTTTGGAAACTTGTTATAACAAAATCACTATGAACAGTCTGAAAATTCTCTTTGGGATCATTAAGGTCACTTAGTGCATAAAAAAGTCATTAAGTTAAGGTAACATAGGTTGTATTATTCAGATGGAATATAGAGTAATATATCAACGGAAAGTTAATGTCGTCACAGACAAAATGTCATAAAACAGAGAGTCCCTAAGGCAGGTTAGACTGTACTGCTGATATCTATAAGTATAATTATAATATATTTATATATATATATATATTGATCATGATTATGAATTACCTGTAAAATGAACCTTATGCACGTGATCCCGGATGTTGACATTATTTTGGCACTATTTGGAATAAGGTTGATGAGGACTGGTAACAATGTCTCGGCACTATGATCAAATTTGTTGCCCAGTCGCTGTGAATAATACCTGTAATAATAACATGATGATTAGAGCATCGCATCAAATCATAATTCCAGTTTCATTCTAATTTTCATGAAAATTTTGAAAATGTGTTAAAAAGTAAAATATTGTGAATTGAACAAAGTGAATAATTTTCAAATTGCAAACTGCACTAACAGACCATGAAAATTACCAAAAAGAGCTCAAAATATGCAAAATTTACCCTTACTGTGTTAGTAACCCAGTAGAAAGACTGTGTTAGTAATGCAATAGAAAGATAGTGAAAAATACTGCAAAATTGGTCATAAATGGCAAATAACATGACATTTTTTACATTAATCTTGAATCTTTTTACTTTTCTTAAAATCTCCGTAATTTTTGTCAAGTATGATTTGGCATGCAGCTTAAATATTTTGAAGGCTTTATTAGGAACAGTTGAAACAAAAAGGACCTTTTTAAGTCAGTATTGTTCCAAAATCATATTTAATTCTCTAATTCAATCTTATATATGCTAACTTATCCAATATGTAAAGTATTGTATGTACAACATGATTTTAATTTTTTTTTTGACATGGTCATAATTTTCAAAGAACTTAACAAGAATATTGTCAAACAGTGATAGATGCTCCTCCATAGCTAGCAAGAGGGCCATGATGGCCCTGAAATCCCTCACCTGTATATAGGCCCCTCGGCCAAGGCCAATTTTAAACCAGGGGCTTTTATTTGAACAAACTTGGTAGACACCCATTAGAAGATGTTTCATGATAAATATCTAAGCTCTAGCTCTTTTGGTTTTTTATAAGAAAATTTTTAAGTTTTTACTATAAACATATAGTGAAAAGCAAAGACCCTTCCCATCTGGGAGGGGTCATTTTTGACCCCAGGGCTTCTTTTGAACAAACTTGGTAGACACTTACTAGAAGATATTTCATGCTTTGTATCTAAACTCTAGCTCTTTGGGTTTTTTATAAGAAGATTTTTTAAGTTTTTACTATACACATGTAAGGAAAATCAATGACCCCTGGGGAGTGGCCAATTTTACTCCAAGGGCCAGTATTTGAACAAACTTGGTAGACACCCATTAGAAGATGTTTCATGCTATATATCTTAGCTCTAGCTCTTTGTGGTTTTTAAAAGAAGATTTTTAAGTTTTTACTTTATACAATATATATATATATATATATATATATACATGTATATTAAAAGTTGACTTCCAAAGGAACATTTATGTGAAGTTTGGATGAAATTGATTTAGCGGTTTATGAGGAGATGTCGTTTAAAGTAAAAGTTTACGGACGGATGCTGGACGGACCGACGCCGGGCAAAAAGCGATCAACAAAGCTCACAATGTCACTTTGTGACAGGTGAGCTAAAAATCACAGCAAATAACTAATAAGATTGTAAGTAAAATTAAATTTCAGACTTTTGACCAAATCCCACCCAGTCAAGGTCTACTGAAAATACCTTAATATAATATGTAAATTATATGTCAATAAATAAAGGTGCTACAAGAAACTGTAAGTGTGATGGCAGAAAGAACAGACCTTAGTTAAAACAAAATTTTAGAGACCATTAACCTTTACCATGCTTGATATCTTACATGGACTTGTACATTTTTTTATCATGGACAAAACCATTCATCTTTTGTACGGAAAATTTTTGCAGTACTGAGTACTGATTTAAAAGTGAACAGTGCAGACCATGATAAGACTGCACCGTTTACCAGCTGATCTTGGTCTGGACTAGTTGTATGTTTAGAATAAGTTTCTGCAGGCAGGCTTAAGGTTAAGCAAATGGTAGATCAATTATTTTGTTTCATTGTGCAGAATATAATTATACCCTATACATACCCTATTGTGATACAGCCTTCTCGTACAACCTGAGACCTCAAGTCCTTTACAGAGTTCATAAAGCAGGGCTCTAGAACCCTCAAAAATGGATAAAAATCATCATATTCTGGTGCCCCGGCAACCATTACACCCCGTAATACCTTCAGCTGAAAAATAAAATAACCACCACATTTGCTTTTAATGTACATTTTGTTTTATGTTTACTGTTAAGTTTGTTTAACAGAAACAGGTTTGTCAAAATACCAAAGTATGACAAAGTTGGTTTTTTTAAAGACCCTATTATGATCAGATTATTTCAGGCACAACAGGCACAGAGTAGAACCAACGACTTTCTGTAACCAACTTGGATAACTTTGTTATTGTGCCATTAGAAGCTGTAGAATAACAGCTCCCTCACATGAAACAATTCATTATCATGGAAAAAGCTAATACCAATAGCTCTGATATGGTGTTGGTGGTGGTGTAGGTAGTTTTCACTCTGGATCATGGCAGTAAGCCACATTGAATTTACCAGAGCACAGATCAGCTACCGCATCGTTCCTGGGCTGGCTGTCAAGTAGTTTACCAGTACTAGTTGCCTTCACTTACGCAAGGAACTGATAACTTCTGTACATGCCAGAGAGGAGGTACAGTGAGAATGACTTTAGGAAGGATTTCATGTAAATCACAACGAAAGTAACCTACACCCTTTGGGAATTGAACAAGGGCCGCCCAATTCACAGTCCATCACTCTATTGAGCTTACTGGATGGCTCACCATGGATAGCTCTGATATGACAATGGCATCCTTAACTTCTAAGCAACCATAATCAGTTGATAAAATACAATTTACAATTTGTCAAATATTAAGTGTAATTTCAGTTATTGTAAAATACTTACAGCATCTACCCGTTTTTCCCAAGCTATGTTTGTATCCGCTAAAGTATCTTTACATTTATTTAGTTGATCAGTAAGATCCCTTGCAGAAAACATCTGAAACACAAAGAATACTGTGATAATTTCCTAAAACTATGAAACATTCGGTAAACATTCAGAAAACATGAATGTAGACAATACCTTGACACTAAAAAAATATTTCTTTGTAAAAATTGTAAAATGGGGTCTAACTAAATATATATGGACAACATGCAGTGTTAATGCTTGTGTGTTAAAATAAACACATTTGACAAAAATTCTACGTAAAATGGGGCATAACACCAAAAATAAAGCTTCCAGAATTATGTCCCTTTGTCTAGCAACTACACCTTTTCAAAATAAGCAAGTATGCTAAGTTTTTTGTTGATAACTTTTGAAATGTTTAAATTATGGGCAATATCAAAGTTTTTTCAGGACGAAAACGTAGCAATCACAGTCGCTCAACTTTTTTTTTCAAAACAGACAAGCTAAAAAGAGAAAAGTGACTATTTTGTTTAAGTCTTATCTTCAATTTACAGTTTTCATAGAATGGATACTATGAAGTAATGTATTTGTAATTTTTTTCTTTCTTTTGTCTTCAGATGTGTACAGGGATACAAATTGTACCATGAGTGTAATATCACAAGATGAACACTAGCATTACATCTTTACACAGAATAGAGAATGATGAGATTTAATGGGTGTGCAGGTCTGTTAGGCATTATTCCTTGGTAGCCTATGCAAGTCATTCCTGCTACAATTCAAAAAGTTAAAACAATTTTATACCTGTACTTTCTGTACATCTTCAAATGATCGGATGAAAAATTCCTCATCAACTGCCCCAGCGCCACCACCTATACAAAGACAAGAAGAAAACAATATAATTACTAACATTAAAACATTGAATTTCTAAACAATTGAAGAAATCAGTCCTCTAAAATGTATCATTTTCAGCGGAACATTTTGGAGACACATGTTTAATAACTCAATAGCAGGAGGCTATGCTTTCAGTACATGTTATATGAAGAGAGTATTAAAACATATCTATTTTTTTTCTTTCTTTTTTTTTTTAAAGAAATTAGCATTAATTTTGCTCATCATTAAAACAATGAGAAAGCAAAATATAATATATTCTATACTAAAAAGTTCTTAAACATAAACATTGACAATGTGATACATATACATGTAGATAAAAATATTTATCACAACAATCTAAAAACTACATGATTTACAACAAATAAAAAATATAAACAATGTTATTAATGAAAAAAATACCCCGAAACCCTACACCCTGTCACCACTAAATTTGTATCTTGGACTTTTCCTACTATGAATTTGTCTTGCTCATTGTAAATGTAAGGAGGTTTCAGGAGATATATCATAATAATGAGCAGCCAATTGGAGCTTGTCTACGCTGTATATTTAAACTGTGGGATTTAAAATTTTGTTTCAATTCAATAAATTTGATTGAATTATCATATACAGATATATTTGTATTAAAACAATAACTTAATTGAATAATTACTATTTTCCAAATGACAATTAAAGATAAAATATAACATGATTTCCCCAACTGACTATTTCCCCACAATACAACTCATCCCACTTTGTGTAGTAGAATAAAAAGTAAAAAATGTAACATTCTAAAAATACTGTTTTCTACCAAGACTTCAGCAAAGGTTAAAAAAAATCACTTTTTTTTTTATTTAGCAATACAGTGTATGCCGCAATGTAAAGCCTTAAAGTCAGTGATGGGTAAAAAAAGACTAAATTATTTTTCTTGTAAAAAAATGTAATTTTTTTTTTTTTATAAAAATTATGTATACTTAAAAAGCATCAATTTGTTGATTACCATATCTCCAAACTATATCAGATTCTAAACTGTCTAAAACTGTTATTTTTTTAAACTAGAGTAGAGTTATTTTACTAATTGTCCTGTATATACTGTATATTTCAAGCAATTAAGCTGAGCAAAAAATGCACTACTTAATTAAGCTAAAATTCTTGCACAATTCTACTATGCAGTTTATTTCTTTCAGTCCTAAAATTTAGTTATACCTGTAACAGTAAATTATTCCTTAAGTTACAGTCAACATAAGTTATGGTAAACTTTATCATATCCGATTGTCCTATCTAAAAGACAACACTTAGTGTAAAAAATACAATGAAATTTAAAGCAAGCATTTGAAATATTTTTTTCTACTGTGTTTGACGAAATGAAGCATATACTCTGAAATACATGTATATATTTTTACATTAAAAACAATTTTATTAAATTTTAGATAAATAGAGGGACATCTTAGAATCTCGTTATAAGATTCATAATTATTATAAGACGCATTATCTATTCTGCACAGAGAAGTCAGGGCAGGGACATAAATGTTCTGTAATATGTAAGTAAGGGATTCACAGGGACTTGATGTTCTGTAATACCCACATCTCCCCCCAAACCATAATTTGTACCATAATATTTCACAAGGGCCAACTAGGACATGGTGGAAACACTGTAAGGTCGTGTTGTGAACAATTCAAGCTGCTGTGAGGTCCTGATTATTGCCTCAGTATGCTAAGCCACCGTGTTCTTAGTGTGTCCAGGACTTGGAACACCCTAGGGACCCCATAATCCAAGAAGAAACCCATTGCAAGTTAATTCTAAGAAAGTACTTAAGCTGAGCACAGTCGACATTTGATTGCATATAAAATGTTTGACATATATAATTGATGATTCTATAGTGCTCCTAATGCGTTTGCAGGCAGTTCTTAACATGACTATAACGTTTTCACGACGTCCTTTCAGTCACTATGAAGACACTGCATGAACAACAAAATGCTGCCCTAGAGTTGTAGTACACACCCTAATTACACATTTAAACATTCCATAAACATACTGAAAACAGTAGATATGGTAAGGGATTATCAGGGAAGTAAATGCTCTGTAATTTCCTATTGTGCAGTCAGTCATGAATCTGCAGGAACTTCTGTTCTGGGGAATCCTATTGTGCAGAGAGGGGGCACAAATTTTACAGTGATGTTCTGTTCTGGGGTATGCTTCTGGAGATAGGGGAAGCAAATTTTACAGTGATGTACTGTTCTGGGGAATCCTACTGTGCAGATAGGGGAAGCAATTTTTCAAGGATATACTGTTCTGGGGCCTCCTTGTGTGCAGATTGGGGATGATGTACTGTGCAGATTGAGGAAGCAAACAAGCAAATTTGTTGAAATTATATCCCCCGCCGAGTACTGGTTATTATTAACACAACAACTGAAGACATAAGGCTTTATTTATATATTAATCATGGCATAAACTGTAATATTCTTTGAACTTGAAGCCTTGTACCTTCAAACAAGAAGAAGTTTTCACTATATACATATAAGGTAAATCTATGACCCCCTGGAGTGGGGCCAATTTTGACCCCAGGGCTAAAATTTGAACAATTTTGGTAGAGGACCTATAGGTTATATCATATACCAAATATCAAAGCTCTAGGCCTTCTACTTTCAGACAAGATTTTTTAATTTTGCATTTTTGAAACTCCTTTTCTGGCCCTGTGACCTACTTATGCAACAGACCGGAACCATTTGATCAACTTTTGCAGGGGACCACCCTAGGATCATTCCTATAAAGTTTGGTTGCTGTGCAGTCATTTGTTTCTGAGGAGATGTTGTTTAAAGAAATTGCTGACGACGCACGACGACGGACGGTGGGGGATCACAATAGCTCACCTAGATGTAAAAACATCTTAATCTCCAGACTTTATTGCCATTTTCAAGGCATCAAGAAGGGATCTCACAATTTTCAAATATTTTTAAATGTTATTGTAACAAATCATTTTAATTCTTCTTTAATAAAAACTAGAAATGTGTCCATAGGACACAGGTGCCCCCACCGCGCCACTTTTCTGTCAATCTTATGACTCTAGGTCAAAAAATTTTAAAAACTAAAAATCTTTTTACTAAGTAAAGGGCAAGAACTTTACAAATACTGAATATATCCCCAAGCAAACCCCAAGTTGAAAATTGCAAATTTAAACTACTGTAGTTCAAGGGCAATAACTCTAACAAAACTGAAAAAAATCCACATGCAAAGTCCCAGGTTCATAGCTTCACAGTGAGGTGAATCATTATTCCTGTAATTTAGTGATGTTGATCATTATTCCTGTAAAGTTGGTCGATTCTAACTCAAGCACTTAAGGATCAAATAACAACATAATGAAACAGTTTTTACTAAGTCAAGGGAAATAACTTTACAAATACTGGGTAAATCCACAAGCGAAACCCCAGGAACAAACTAAATATGCTGAGCAACTTTCCAATAAGGTTTAATGACTCTATGTCAAATCCTTTTTGAGTTACATGCGACACATGTTGAAAATTGCAAACATTTTCTAAGTCAAGGGCAATAACTCTAAAAATACTAAATAAATCCAGACGAAAATACCCAGGTGCACAACTACACATGCTGATCAACATTCCTGTAAAGTATCATGACTTTAGGTCAAATACTTTTTGAGTTACTTGCGACACAAGTTGAAAATTGCAAAATTTTACTAAGTCAAGGGCCATAACTCTAAAAATAGTAAAAATATCCGGACGAAAATACCCAGGTGCACAACTACACATACTGATCAACATTCCTGTAAAGTTTCATGACTCTAGGTCAAATACTTCTTGAGTTACATGCGACACAAGTTGAAAATTAAAATTTTTTACTAAGTCAAGGGCAATAACTCTAAAAATACTAAAAATATCCAGACGAAAATACCCAGGTGCACAACTTCACATGCTGATCAACATTCCCATAAAGTTTCGTTGAATTCCAGCCATTAGTTGCAAAGAACTACTCCGGAAACGAAATTCGGACGTTTTACTAAGTCAAGGGCAATTACTCTAAAAATACTAAAAATATCCAGACAAAAATACCTAGGTGCACAACTTCACATGCTGATCAACATTCCCATAAAGTTTCGTTGAATTCCAGCCATTAGTTGCAGAGAACTACTCCGGAAACGAAATTCGGACGTTTACTAAGTCAAGGGCAATAACTCTAAAAATATCCAGAAGAAAATACCTAGGTGCACAACTTCACATGCTGATCAACATTCCCATAAAGTTTCGTTGAATTCCAGCCATTAGTTGCAGAGAACTACTCCGGAAACGAAATTCGGACGAACGGATGGACGGACAGAAGGACGGACGGACAACGCCAAAACTATATCCCCCTCCCGATTCCATCGGCGGGGGATAATTAACAGTGATGTACTGTTCTGGGGAACCCTATTGTGAAGATTTGGTAAGTTAATTTACTGTGTCATACTGTTTGGGGATACCCTATTGTGAAGATAAGCGAAGCAGACAGCGGTGACTTACTGTTCTATAGGGTGTTATTGTACAGATAGGGGAAAGGAATTACTCTGTATAATGTAATAATATTCATTTATGGTGCTTTCTTTTTTTACACATTTCAAAATTCCCTTCATAGACTGCAAACTGCAAGTCAATGCTAGGTCAGAAACAAATTTGAACATTAAGAAATATAGCCACATAATAGCCTTACAGAATGGTTAATGTAAAAGAGAAAGTACAGTTACATTTTGTTCCTAGTCACATAAGTATCCAATTGTAAGCTTAGGCAGACAGGCGGACAGATGGACAGACAGATAGTTCAATTACTACCTGCCTGGGGGCATAAAAATTAGAAGGTTAGGGGTTTTACTAATTCAGCAGAACAGTCGACTCACCAGATAACTACACAAATGTTGGAAAGCAAATTCTTGTTTAATACACATGAAGAAATTTTCACCATCAGGGGAACATAAAAAACCTTACAAATGTCAGAACTGTATTTTTAGAGTATATGCTTGCAGGAAAATTGAGGGAAAGCTTGCATATGACTGGGAAATATTGCACAATAATACCTGTCGAGTCAGGAGCTGATTTCCTTCTAAATGACAGTCTAGTTGCTGTTAAAAATGCACACAAAAATATAAAATCCCCATTTAAAAACAGCTGCATGTTGCATTCTGTATTTCGACTACTACATTAAAAGTTAATAAAAAAAACACCTTTTACCATACTCAAGATTTAGTCACATGTCTATGCACTGGACATAATGTACTGTTTGTATTAATTCATAAAAAAGTTTATATTGCCAATTTTCAATGTATTCAATGCCAATTTTCTAAGTTGAACCGGTAATGAAAAAGGGTCTTTGAACCTTGCCCTTAAGGATTTGCCTTGACCTTCATTATATTTTAATAACCATGCACTTGTACATATATGCCTATTAAAGAGCAGGGAGTAAAAGTTGTGGTAATATTCTGAGCAAGAACTTTCATACTAAAATTCTCCTGTACCCCATATCTAACATTCATATTTTGAAAATTTTTCACCATGATGACCCCTTTAAAGAATAAAAACCCCACTTCCAATTTCCCTTAGAAATGCTCATAACAAGGTTTGGTTTATACTCCAATGTTAGAAAATGATTATCCCTCCAAAAACCTAAAACAATTGGCCCATCGTTCATAAGTTTATCCCCTGATCTATGGGGTTATAGAAGCACATAACCTGTCCAGTGCATATTTTAGATCTAGTTATACTGAATCTCATTGCAAATTCTTAAACATCAAAATCCCATTAAATCTCATTCCCAATAAATCTGATAAAGAATAAAGAAGTTATAATCATTAGAATTCCAACAACAACAAAAAGATCCTGTTAAAATCCTTTCTAAACACAGAACATAAAATACTTGCTCCGTTTATATGGAAGAACTATATATATTGAAAACACAGCAAAGTGTAAGCTCTTACTATATTAACAAATCAAATATAGTAAATTTTGTATATATTAAAACATTTCAAAAGCAATCTTCTAGGTAACTGAAATCGAGGGTTGACCGTAAAACTGAAGTAACTTACATGAAAAAAAGGACTTACAACAGTTTTGCAGTCAACCCTCGAATTGCAGATTACAACTGACAATAAATTAAAAGAAAAAGTTCAAACCTTAACTTTCAAGGCTTGATTTCTTGACATTACTACTCTAGCATGGTTTAATTTTATTTGAAAAAGACTTACTAAAACTGTTGCATCCTGAATTTCATTTCACTTTACAGGCTGATGGGCTTAACATTATAGATCTCAAAATTAACCAGTAGAAATAAAGGACAAGCAATATCCTCCATCTTTTACAGAAAGAATTTGGAGAAGAATAAATACTGAAGATGTCATGCCAACAATTCAAACATTCATCACATGTGTTTAGCAAAACAATATGGAGGCTCTAGATGCACTGAAGAACGGCACTGAACAAACTCACCTGTAGAAGTGGAGGATTTTGACATTCCGAGACCACTCCGCTTTCCCGATGCTGATCCCGTTGACACGGTAGAGCTGGCAGAGCTCGGCAATCTCTTGGCATGAGGAACTTTTGTGGACAGTGGTCGTGCAAAGTCAGGCTCGTCATGATCTTCTCTGTCTGCCCTACCAGGACCTGTAAAGTATGTAAAACTGTGTAAAACAAGCATTTGATAGTATTGCGGGCAATACAGTAGTCCCCTACCGGTCCCTCAAAAAGTTCTTTAATTGTCATACACTCCTGTGTATTGCCATTTATAATGAATTTGAGGATGAAGTCTGTATTTGAAAATATCGACCACAAAACATAATAAAATAAGTTTGTTTATATCACAGTAATGTGTTAAGTTTCCATGCTTAGTAAGGAAATTATGTTTATACAACCTTGTCATATTATTACGATGTGGGATTTTAAAGTAAATCCTATAAGGAATGAAGAAGTTGGAGTGAAAATACCAGTTTCTCGAAAAAAATCTAAGTTCAAGGGGGACATAATTCTGGAAATAGTCTTGCTAGAGTATTTAACCTTCTCAAAAATGTCGAGTGATAATAAGAAACATATATATGAAGTTTGAAGTAGATACATAAGGAAATAAAGAAGTTATTTAAAAAAGACAACATTTTTTCCCCTAAAAAATCTAAGTTCAAGGGAGGTAATATTAATATTTTTTGTGCTAGAGTTATAAACCTTGTCACATATGATGTGGTTGATGACCAGGAACTTATATTTAAAGTTTGAAGTAAACACCTTAAGAAATAAAGAACATATAGTGAAAAAGCTGAAAAATTTAAATCAGAAATCTTGAAATTCAGGCTATTTGTTGCCATAGCAACCAGAATTTTCAACATAGGAAGAAAATAAAAAGATGTGCATAATCTCCAGACTGCCATCTACCCATATTTCAAGTTTCATAAATATATTTTCAGTACTTTTTGAGTTATCACTGGATCCAGTTTATGTGTTAAATTTGCCATATTTTCAGACTATTTGTTGCCATAGCAACCAGAATTTTCAACATAGGAAGAAAAAAAAAAGACGTGCATAATCTCCATACTGCCATCTATCCATATATCAAGTTTCATAAAAATATTTTCAGTACTTTTTGCGTTATCGCGGGATCCAGTTTTGTGGACGGACGGACTGACGGACTGACAGACTGACAGACAGACAGACAGACAGACGGACAGACAGACGGACAGACAGACAGACAGACGGACAGACGGACGTTCATTTGAGGATGAAGTCTGTATTTGAAAATATCGACCACAAAACATAATAAAATAAGTTTGTTTATATCACAGTAATGTGTTAAGTTTCCATGCTTAGTAAGGAAATTATGTTTATACAACCTTGTCATATTATTACGATGTGGGATTTTAAAGTAAATCCTATAAGGAATGAAGAAGTTGGAGTGAAAATACCAGTTTCTCGAAAAAAATCTAAGTTCAAGGGGGACATAATTCTGGAAATAGTCTTGCTAGAGTATTTAACCTTCTCAAAAATGTCGAGTGATAATAAGAAACATATATATGAAGTTTGAAGTAGATACATTAGGAAATAAAGAAGTTATTTAAAAAAGACAACATTTTTTCCCCTAAAAAATCTAAGTTCAAGGGAGGTAATATTAATATTTTTTGTGCTAGAGTTATAAACCTTGTCACATATGATGTGGTTGATGACCAGGAACTTATATTTAAAGTTTGAAGTAAAACACCTTAAGAAATAAAGAACATATAGTGAAAAAGCTGAAAAATTTAAATCAGAAATCTTGAAATTCAGGCTATTTGTTGCCATAGCAACCAGAATTTTCAACATAGGAAGAAAATAAAAAGATGTGCATAATCTCCAGACTGCCATCTACCCATATTTCAAGTTTCATAAAAATATTTTCAGTACTTTTTGAGTTATCACTGGATCCAGTTTATGTGTTAAATTTGCCATATTTTCAGACTATTTGTTGCCATAGCAACCAGAATTTTCAACATAGGAAGAAAAAAAAAAGACGTGCATAATCTCCATACTGCCATCTATCCATATATCAAGTTTCATAAAAATATTTTCAGTACTTTTTGCGTTATCGCGGGATCCAGTTTTGTGGACGGAAGGACTGACGGACTGACAGACTGACAGACAGACAGACAGACGGACAGACAGACGGACAGACAGACAGACGGACAGACGGACGGAGGGTAAACCTAAAGTCCCCTCCGGTTAAACCGGTAGGGGACTAATAATGTAAAATGCTATCACTTCCCAGCCAAAATTTAATTTTCCTAAGTTCTATCTTGAATCTCGGGATTTTCATTGGTCTCTATATGTGTTCTATGCTTATTTCTGACCAATCAAATTTCTGAAATAGGAGTTTGAGCTTAGAAAAAAATAATTTATAACCTTGGACCCCATGTGTTTTTATTTGTATTGAAAAGACTCTTATGAGACACAATAACATAGTTCTCACAAAACTATTAACATGCAGGAAGTAAATACAGGAAGTAAATTTAGCTCAAGGAATAATTTTCTCAATGTTCTGTCATACATCCACGTCAATAACAATTCTAATTTATTGCATTTTTCAAGACTTCTTTACCAAACCTATGTTGACCCATTTCATTACCACTGCTCTTCTGATATTTTCCATTGAACTTATAAATTTTAAAAGTGCTGATTTGAGCAAAATATATAACATCCAAATACAGTCATACTTGCCTTTTCTATGTGACTCAAAACCTTTTTACACAAAAATAATATCAAAGTTTTTAAAAATTTTTTAATTTTCAAAAATTTATAACCAAACATTTATATCAAAATTTGAAAATTTTTTACTTTTTTCCCTTTCAGCTTAACAATCACAACAATTTTATCGAAACCACTGTCAGCATATCAAGGATTATCAACACATGTTTATCTCAACATCCAAAAATAATCTTTTCTAATCCTGCAAAAAAAATGCAGAATATTATGCAAATGCACAACAATTCAAACATTTATTCTCATCTTTATAGCAACTTGACACCCTTCTCAAAATCAGTATTCTCCCACTACAACATATAAGCTTTCAAGTATAAATAAACTACAATGATCAAGTTTCCATCCAAGTCAATTAACCATCTCTAACCCCTTAGTGTTTTTAGTGTGTTTTTAGTGTTGGTAAACAACAACAGAAAAGACCAGGTTTTAGTTAAACAGCCAGACAAATTTGTATAAATTATACAATTTTGACAGGTGGAAGGACAGTTTTACACCAACTTAAATTGGGGGATCATTACTACACTAGAGTAATTTGTTCTAACAAATTGTCCAGTTAGAACAGTATTGCATCAATTCATCAATACTTAATAATAATACATAATAACCCCCCCCCCCCCAACCTGTCAATTACAAATACACTGGGAAAATAGAGAAAGTTTAGATTAAAATCTTTGTTATAAAAATATTTGATTTTAACTCAAACTTTTTTGGACCCATTAAATGTGCAAAGATTTTTGATTTTCATTATCAATTAATCAATTGTCATTAAAAAGACTTAACAACAAAAACCACTACATGGGCTGTTATCCAAGCAGTGAAATATTCAAACAATCTCTTTGTGGTGTCTTATTTCTGCTTTACAAAATTAAATTGCACAAGGACTGTATGAATTTAAAAATAGAACCTGGTTGAACAAAGAGGAAAAAGCTGCTGCAACTGCTAAAGCATTTATGAGCCTTTTTAATGTTTAATATGCACACTGTTTACAATAATGTGCCTGAAAACCAACATTTTAAAAATCTCAACCACACAGGGTAATATTGTAGATATTCTAAAGAAACTGCTAACCACAGCACAGAAAGAATGCAGCCAGTCTTATTATCAAAAGAAACCTTATTCTCTAGTCTAGTTGAACTTCTAAAAGGAACTAGGTACTTTGAAATTTCATAGAGAAAATACATTTCATGCTGGGTGGCAATAAAAAGCCTATGCAAGCCTAAAGCTCATTGAATCTAACCTGACTTCACTGTATCATATATAGTTACTGTAAGTATGCACAAGTCAATTACACTAATCTGTTAGGGTGAAGGTCAATTTGAACTGAATCTTTCCATGGGATCTGTGCCATTTGATCATGGTCTCTACTGTTCACTATTTATGCAGTCAGTTCTTGGTGGGGGTGGTGTTGGTAGTTTTTACTCCAGATCACACCGTAAGCCCTTTAAAATTTTCCCGAGCAAGTTTTTTGGGCCCCCACATTTTGGGGAGACTGTCAAGCATTTACCCAAAGGTTTTCTTCCAAAAAATTTTTAAAAATCTCAAACAAAGGGGAATTCGAATTATCGTAGATAGGATTTCATGATCAATTAAAACAAAGTGACCTGCACTGTTTGGGAATCCAACCCAGATTGCCATATTCACAGTCCAACGCTCTACCTATTAAGCTAACAGGATGGTACTCACTGAGCACCCACTTGTCATTTCTTATTTTGAAAAATTCCCTAAAAATTTATGAGTTTGTCCAAATTGATAGAGGGACAACTCTATTTAAAGGACAACTCTATTAAAGATATTTAGTTTGGTAAGAGTTAATCAATGTGCAGACAGTAAAGTAAACAGCCAGAGGGTATGGCTGAAAATGTTAACACCAGTTTGATAGTTGTAATAATAACAGGTAACTAAAACCATCCATATTACTTTATCCCTAAGGCACTCAGTCTTAACAATTAGATCTCCTTGCAAGAGATACTATCCCAATTACCCTAGCTTATGTCATAAAGAAATATTTTACTACAAAAGTTTCCAAATTGTTGGCACATGGTTTCATTTTAAATACTCTGCAAACATTGCTATTCTTGCATATTTTCTTCTGAATTTCCGGTAAAAATACATGCACATTGCATTCATGTTAAAATTTCAGGTTGAAAACAATGCATGGCAGTGTAGTAAGTATAATGAGAGAGGTTAAGTACAAAATTTATCATTTATCCAGCGAACCATACAGAAATGTCAACATATGAAAATATCTAGTTTTCTCATTTTTCAATTTAGAAACAAATATGTCTTAGAATTTTTAATTTATTTAGACCAAAACTCCAGATATTTTTAACAATTTGAATTGCGATTGATTAGATACATTTTACTTACAAACATGATCAAGGAAATAG